ACGGGGTTTCACCATGTTGACCAGGATGGTCTCGATCTCTTGACCTCGTGATCCACCCGCCTCGGCCTCCCAAAGTGCTGGGATTACAGGCTTGAGCCACCACGCCCGGCTAATTTTTGCATTTTTAGTAGAGACGGAGTTTCATTGTGTTGGACAGGCTGGTCTCGAGCTACTGACCTCAGGTGATTCATCTGCCTCAGCCTCTCCAAGTGCTGGGATTACAGGTGTGCACCACTGCACCCAGCCTAAACCGCTTCTTCACAGGGCCTTTGCACAGGCCAGTTCCTGTCTTCAGGGCTCTTCTCTTCACCCAGCGCCCTCCCATCCCAAAAAGGAATCCTCTGGTTGGCTCCACCTCACCATCAGATCTCAGCTCCAGCCCCACCTCCTCAATAAAGCTGCAGGCCCCTTCATTCCAGGTGACGCTCCTTTGTTCCACGGGTGTGTGAACACCTGTCCCTAATAGCAATTACCTCAAGTTGTCACCACACACTCAACTGTGGACCCCTCTCATTCATGTCTGCTTTTCCCACCACACTATAGTACAGAGCCTTGTCTGTTCCATTCATTCCACCAACAGACAAATGGCCAGGCATGGTGGCTCACGCCTGTAATCCCAGCACCTTGGGAGGCCGAGGCAGGTGGATCACCTGAGGTCAGGAGTTCAAGAGTAGCCTGGCCAACATGGTGAACCCTGTCTCTACTAAAAACACAAAAATTAGCTGGGTGTAGTAACACGTGCCTGTAATCCCAGCTACTTGGGAGGCTGAAGCAGGAGAATTACTTGAACCTGGGAGGCTGAGATTGCAGTGAGCCGAGATCGCACCGTTGCACTCCAGCCTGCGTGACAGAGCGAGACTCTCATCCCAAAAAACACAAAACCAGAAAATTATGGAACATCTACTCCCACCAGACTCTGGCTAAATTAGGGGATACTGCAGGCAAGAAGACAGATAAGGTCCCTGCTCTCATGGAGAGGGAAAGGAAAAAGTCTAAGGAGGAAAGAGAGTGCTGTGACAAAGAATAACTGGAAAGGGAGGGCTGCCAGAGAAACGGCAGTGGGAAGACCTCTCCGCTGGCACTAAGGCACACAGGCATGGCGCAGAGAAGGTGCACAAATATTGGCTGCTGGAATGAAGGGATGAACCTCCTGATAGTTAACTCCGTACTACTAGAACTGTCCATCTTCACAAAAACAATGCAAGGCTGAAAAGACAGCAACATTTTATCCTCATTTTACAAATGGAAACTGAGGTCCAGAGGGAGTCAGTAACTTGCCTGCAATTGCAAAGTAATTTGGAATTGTGGAATCTAACACTTTCAGTTACAACTCCCTTTTTCAAGCCCATTTTCTTTTGATCCCCTTCAACATCCCGTTTCACAGTGAAGAAAAGTTCCGACACATTAAGCTGCCTGCCCACGGCCAGGGCTTGGCATGACCGAGGCCAGGCCCGCGGCCAGTGGGCGGCGCTGGCTCCCTCGCGCCCAGGCCTGCCCGAGAGTCGCGAGCCCAGTACCTTGTTGGCCAACTTCTTGTTCAGCTCCTCGGCAATAGAGTCGTTGAGCTTCCTCTCAAACTGCCACGGGGGTATCCGCACTGTGTCCACCATCTCCACCAGGACGAACATCCCGGCCTGCGCTGGGGGCTCTGGGAATGGGAGGGTCAGTCACGCACCAGGGCCAGGGGCAGGGAGGATCCCTTAGGCTCTCGGTCCCGTCCCGGTAGCTGAGGCCCCCAGAGAGGTAATGAGGCTGCACGGGTCTCGGGTGCCCAGTGCGGGCCATGCTCCGCTACTACAACGGGAGGAAACTGAGGCCAGAGGGAGTCGCCCTTCGTCCAGAACTCCAGGTGCGCGCCCCCGCCCGCGCCTCACGACCCCGCCACGCCACGCCAGGCCCAGCACCCGCGCCATTCGCCGCCGCACGCACCACGCACCACGCATCACGCACCACGCACCACGCATCACGCACCACGCACACAGCCGTCCCCGGCTTGCTCTACTTCAGGTGAGATTCCGAATCCGTCGCTTCCGGAGAACCCACCAATAAGAAGCCTCTGTCCGCCCCCGGGCGGAACCAGGCTGCTTGTCGCTCCGGCGCCGCGTGGGGCGGAAAGAGGGCGGGGAGGGGGCGGGGCCTCCGTTCACCGGCGCAGAGCGATTCCCCCGCCCCCGACAGAGCTTTCTGGTTGCCAGGCGACCCCGGTGCAATCCAGTCCTGTCATCCCTCTCCTGGCCTGTGTTTTACCCGCCTTGCTGTTCTCTGCACAGCAGCCAGAGTGATCCTTTGGAGACGCAAGCACGTATTACCACATCTTTTAAGTAAAAAAAAAAAAAACCACCGCAAACATAATATGCTTAACACCCGTAAGTGCTAAAGAGGCAAGGAAAGCCGGGCGCGGTGGCTCACGCCTGTAATCCCAGCACTTTGGGAGGCCGAGGCGGGCGGATCACGAGGTCAAGAGCTCGAAACCATCCTGGCCAACATGGTGAAACCCCGTCTCTACTAAAATACAAAAATTAGCTGGGCATGGTGGCACGCGCCTGTAGTTCCAGCTACTTGGGAGGCTGAGGCAGGAGAATTGCTTGAACCCAGGAGGCGGAGGTTGCAGTCAGCCGAGATTGTACCTCTGCGCTCCAGCCTGGTGCCTAGCAACAGAGCAAGACTCTGTCTCAAAAAAAAAAAAAAAAAAAAAAGAGAGAGAGACAAGGAGAATTGATGGTAAAGGGTCACTGGGGACTTTTTTTTTTTTAAGATGAGGTTTCACCATGATGGCCAGGCTGGTCTTGAACTCATGACCTCAGGTGATCCACCCACCTTGGCCTCCCAAAGTGCTAGGATTACAGGCGTGAGCCACGGCACCCAGCCCACTAGGGGCTCTTCTGGGTGATGGAAATGTTCTGTATCTTCTTTTAGGTGGTATAACATTGACATATATAATTGTCCAAACTAATTGAGCTTAACACTTAAGATTTTTGCATTTATTGGTGGACATTATCTCCCAATTTAAAAGCGATAATAAATTGGAGCAAAAAACACAACCCATTGAACTTAGAATACTAAATTCCAAGCCGGGCGTGAAGGTGCACATCTGTAGTCCCAGCTACTCTGAAGCCTGAGACAAGAGAATCGTTTGAGTCCAGGAGTTCTAGGCTGCATTGATGCAGTGAGCTACAATCATGCCACTGCACTCTAGCATGGGCAACAGTCACAACCCATCTCTAAACGAAAAAAAAGAAAAAAGGAAAGGAAGAAGGAGGAGAGGAACGAGAGGAAGGAGAGGAAGAAGAGGAAGGAAAGGAAGAAGAGGAAGAAGAGGAAGGAAAGGAAGAAGAGGAAGAAGAGGAGGGAAAGGAAGGAGAGGAAGAAGAGGAAGGAAAGGAAGGAGAAGAAGAAGAAGGTCCAAAACCTTCATGGTAGCTCACATGGCCTTTTAAGATCTGACCATACCCACCCCTATAGCCCCATCTTGCTATCTCTCCCCAACATTCCAGTTTCATTCGTCTTCACGTGATAGTTATCATGTGCTAAGAGAATTGTAACTTGCCCAAGATCACGTGTTGAGAAGTGGTAGAGGTGGGCCCATGAACCTCATTATCCTGCCTCTAAAAATTGGTGGGGTGTAGATGTATACGGTAGTGTGTTTTAACCCAAATAACAATTTAGGCACTTACAAAAGATCCTTAGGGTAAATAACAGAGGCACTCAGAAGTGTATGGTGCCTTAATTTGCTGATTTAACAAGCATAGTGATCTCTCAATGACACTGGCTGCAGTGATGCTAAATGTGGCCTTCCCTGCATCTGTGTTTTTATTTTTAGGTCTGCTTCTACCGGATTTGAGCTACTTGAGGACAGGAGCAAATGCTACTTCAGCTCTTTATTCCCACAATCCCCTAACACATTCCTAGGAAGTATTCAGTAAAGGTGTTTAGGAGACTAATATTAATTCTTTCTCTCAAATGCTTCCTCTTTATTCCATTCCCCCTACTATTGCTTTGGTTCAGGCCTTTTTGGTTAGTTTGCTTTTTTGAGATGGAATCTTGCTCTGTCCCCAGGCTGGAGTGCAGTGGCACAATCTTTGCTCACTGCAATCTCTGCCTCCCAGGTTCAAGCAATTCTTCTGCCTCAGCCTCCTGAGTAGCTGGCATTACAGGTGTGTGCCACCACACCCGGCAAATTTTTGTATTTTTAGTAGAGACAGGGTTTCACCATGTTGGCCAGGCTTATATTGAACTCCTGACCCGACCACCTCTGCCTCCCAAAGTGCTGGGATTACAATCATGAGACACCACAACTCACCAGTGTAGGCCTTTTCATTGCTCCCCTGGAGCTTAGCCACATATCCTGCCCCTGGCCTTAGTCTCTCCTGGAAATGACACCAACACTGTCACAAAAGCCTTCCCTTCATGAGTCCCCTTTGTCCACACAGAAAGGCCTAAATTGAACCCAGCCTTCTTCTTCAGACCCGCCTCCCTTCTGTACTACAGGCACTGGGACTCCCCAGCACCTTGGGTGGAGCAAGCCCTTCTACAGTCTCAATCATGTCTTCTTTACCTGGAAAACCCCTACTCATCTGTTAGAACCTGATATAGTTTGGTTATTTGTTGCTACCCAAATCTCATGTTGAATTGTGATCCCCAATGCTGGGGCTTGGGGCCTGGAGGGAGGTTTGGATCATGGGGGCAGATCCCTCATGCCTTGCTGTCTTTGTGATAGTGAGTTCACATGAGATCTCGTCATTTATTTTTTAATATTTTATTTTATTTTAGAGACAGTCTTGCTCTGTCGCCCAGACTAGAGTTCAGTGGCGTGATCTCAGCTCAATGCAACATCCGCCTCCCGGGTTCAAGCAGTTCTCCTGCCTCAGCCTCCCGAGTAGCTGGTTCTATAGGTGCCCACCATCACACCCAGCTAATTTTTGTATTTTTAGTAGAGACAGGGTTTCACCATCTTGGCCAGGCTGGTCTACGAACTCCTGACCTTGTGATCTCTCCATCTCGGCCTCCCAAAGCACTGGGATTAACAGGTGTGAGCCACCACGCCCAGCTCGGGAAAGGGTGTCTGAAAGAGGAGGGAGTAAGTTTCTGGGACAAATACTGCCGCTGAGGACAGAATTACCACTGATTTAGCAACACGGAGTCCATTAATGACCCTGAGGAAACATCTTCCCCAGAGCAGCAGGGGCAGAACCCTGGCTGGAGCAGGTCAGAGAGAGGAGAAGAAAGGTTCAGACGGAACGCAGCAAGTACAGACAACTGTTTCAGGCAGTTTTGCTGGTAAAGGGAGCAGAAAAATGGAGCATTCACCAGAGGAGAAAGGGGCCAAGAAAGGGGGCCAAGATAAGCTTTTTTTTTTTTTCAAGATGTGAAAAAAATATTAATCGCTTTTAAAATTTTGCTTTATTCATTTTTCACAGGTAATATATTCCCATGATCCCACACAAAGAAGATCCCTGGCTGGGCACAGTGGCTTACGCCTGTAATGCCAACACTTTGGGAGGCCGAGGAGGGAAGATTACTTGAGCCCAGGAGTTCGAGGCCAGCGTGGGCAACATAGTGAAACGCCATTTCTACAAAAATAAAAAAGCTAGCCGGGTGTGGTGGTATGTGCCTATAGGACACAGCTACAGGCATGCAGGAGGCTAAGGCTGGAGGATTGCTTGAGCCCAGGAGTTCAAGGCTGCAGTGAGCTATCATTGCACTGCTGCACTCCAGCCTGGAAGTGCAGAGGGAGACCTTGTCTCTCTCTCTCTCTTTTTTAAATTTTATTTATTTTTTATTTTTTTATTTTTTTTGAGACAGAGTTTTGCCTCTTGTTGCCTAGGCTGGAGTGCAAATGGCATGATCTCAGCTTATTGTAACCTCTGCCTCCTGGGTTCAAGTGATTCTCCTGCCTCAGCCTCCCAAGTAGCTGGGATTACAGGCATCTGCCACCACGCCTGGCTAATTTTTTGTATTTTTAGTAGAGATGGGGTTTCACCATGTTGTCCAGGCTTGTCTCCAACTGACTTCAGGTAATCCACCTGCCTTGGCCTCCAAAAGTGCTGGGGTTACAGGCAGGAGCCACTGTGCCTGGCCAAGACCTTGTCTCTTAAAAAAAAATCCAAAGTGCATTTGGGAAAAAATTCTCTTCCCTCCCATTGCCCCTCACCCCCCTTCAGCTGTTCATTTCTTACTCCGGAGACAACCAGTGTAATCCATTTCTTATAAACCCTCCAGAGCTATTTTCTGCATAAAAGAGCACTAGACAATTATTTTTCTCCCTTTTTTACACAAATGGTAACATCCCATTACACCATTACACATTGCTCTGCACCTTATATTTTTGGATTTAACAATATATCCTAAATATCATTCTATATCAATACACAAAGGATATTCTCATTCTTTTTTATGGCTTCATATTTTTCTGGCAGGTGATGTACCATGTGTTTTTTTAGCCAGCGCTCTGCTGATGGACAGTCATTTGAGATGGGTTCTATTGCTGCTTCCCTTTACAGAGAGGCACTGAGAGGGTCACGGGCATCCCTGCAGGTGCTCAGCTTGTGTGCTGTGGCATGGAAACGCTATGCTCCTTGTCATCTCGAGTGACTCTTTTTTTCCTGCCTTGATGAGCTTCCAGCCCTATTTCTGCCTCACTTCTATACCTTCAGCAATTCTTTCATTATTCTTTTGTTCATTCAAATACCACATAAAAATAACCTGGGAAGGCTGGGCGCGGTGGCTCACACCTATAATCCTAGCACTTTGGGAGGCTGAGGTGGGTGGATCACCTGAGGTCAGGAGTTCATGCCTGGGCAACAGAGGCAGGCTCCATCACAAAAAAAAAAAGCAAACAAACAAAACCAGACACCCTTTCCCCCAAGGCCCAGCCACATTCTCTATCCACCTCACAGACTCCTCTTTCAATCTCTCAGTCCCGGTGGGCCTCAGGCTCACTTTCTGCCCTGGGTACACTCCTGCAGGTACCATGCCTCTG